ATGTGCTTTTATGGGTATCCACGCTGATGAGTACACTCAAAAGACTGATATCAACACCAAGATGTACTTTGACACTGACAAGGATGAGCCATACTGTTGTAAGTTCCTACAAACTGTTGTAAGTTCCTACAAACTGTTGTAGGTTCCTACACACTGTTGTAAGTTCCTATATATTGCTTAAGTTCCATCACCACCACCACCACTGAACCACAATAAGCTTAAACTAATAACCTCAGCAACCCTTAGCGCCACCATCAACCAGAATCTTTCCATAACCACCACCACCAGTTACTAACCACAATTCCCCTCTTCTCTAGACTACCACTACCAAGTAATTGTGGACACCGCTCATCCCAAGGAAGCTGACGACTGGGTCCAAGGTCACCTTGATATCTGGCTATTTGGTGACAATGGTAACACCATCGAGAATGTTAGACTGACCGAGTAAGTAGAGCACACTATTAGCGTGACTTTGTAAATGGTCCAGGTCGGACCGAAACGTCGTCGTAAGCTCCTCTCTTCTAAGTACGGATTATTAGTGTATTGTTCCATTCACGTTATTAAGCCTTTTTTTTTAGGCTATACTCTAGTAGTTTCTAATTAGACTCAGTAAGAGAGTAAGGCACACTGAAGTGGCTTAAAAGTGTAGCTAGGTGGGAAATAACTTATGTCACGGATCCCGGGTTCGATTCCCAGGTAGAGCGAGACTTATGGACCAGTCTGCTCACACTTGCATCTATAATATTAAGGTTCTCCTAGAAAAAAATATTAAAATGCAAAGTTCACTCAAGCTTTACTAAAACGTTTCGCACAATCTAGAAAATTAAAATTGTCTAAAGAAAATAGTAATAAAAAAAACGTGCATTATTCATAACGAGATGTTTCGCACAGGGATCACGAGAGGTTCGAACATGGGCAGCCAAAATACTTCATGTTTACCAGCCACATTGACGTCTCACGAGTGATCAGGATGGAAGCTTATTGGAGGTATGATGATTCCCTCTTCGACCCCGGTAGTTACTGCTTCCTCTTGACGTGTAACTCTGCACTCTATGTTCGCTCCATCCAGATCTCATCCATGGAATATTATCCTGAGACGTGAGTATGGTGCCTCTCTCTCTCTTTCTCCCAGCAAGCGTGCGTGAGCGTGTTAGATAGGAGTGAATGGAGACGAATGATACTTGGGACCTGACGATCTGTTGGAGTGTGAGCAGGGTAATATTTAGTGAAGGGATTCAGGGAAACCGGTTATTTTCATATAGTCGGACTTGAGTCCTGGAAATGGGAAGTACAATGCCTGCACTTTAAAGGAGGGGGTTGGGATATTGGCAGTTTGGAGGGATATGTTGTGTATCTTTATATGTGTATGCTTCTAAACTGTTGTATTCTGAGCACCTCTGCAAAAACAGTGATAATGTGCGAGTGTGGTGAAAGTGTTGAATGATGATGAAAGTATTTTCTTTTTGGGGATTTTCTTTCTTTTTTGGGTCACCCTGCCTCGGTGGGAGACGGCCGACTTGTTGAAAAAAAAAAAAAAAATATATATATATATATATATTTGTCATGTCGAATAGGCAAGACTTGCTATTTTGGCTTAAATAGCAACGCTTTTCTTGCCGAATAAGGCAAATGAAAATTTTTGTATGCAATAATTCCGCAAAAATCGTTCTGAACCAAACGAAAAAATTATATTTCATTGTGTTTCTTTATTATTAAATTATTGGAAACTTATATATAATATATTTAGTTGGATTAGGCTAAATTAAATTGCGCTCATTTTAATAAGGTTAGGTAAGTTTTTCTAATTTTTTTTGGTACAAAAATATTAATTTTTACATTAATATAAATGAAAAAATATATCTCTAAACGTATAAGAGAAACTTTTAGAAAGAACTTAATTTTAAAAGAGTTCTTGCTAATTGACCATATATATATATATATATATATATTATATATATATATATATATATATATATATAATATATATATATATATATTATATATATATATATATATATATATATATGCAAAACAACCACTCTGAAAGAATAGAGAAATTCCAAGCGCTTTCGTGACTACTCACATTATCAAGGAACTATGAAAGTAAAGCATCCAAGGAAGCTATATAAGGGGTCTGGCCGGCACCTCACTATCAGATCCCACAACGGTTTAAAACACCTGACGCGCGCCGACCCAACTTGGATAGGTCCTTGGCACAACTCACCCCACAAACTATTCTACCCAAGAAATAAGAAATTTTAAAGATTATTTGTCCAGTGTATTATTAAATTCTTCCCAAATTCTATTAATTATAAATGGATCTAATTTATATAAACCAAAGGAAATATTCATATTATTGTCAAAACTGCTTTTTATGAAACAAGATTCAATTATATTCCTGTCGACCATGGACTTGCTTGATACTACTTTCTCAACTTTTTGAAAATCAATTGGATGGTTAAAATCTCTTACATGAATAAATAGAGCATTGGAATCTTGTCCAGTTCTAATGCTATATTTATGTTGTTTTAATCTTAGTTCGAGATTTTTACCAGTTTGACCGTAATAAACTTTATCGCAAATTTTACAAGGAATCTTATAGACACATCCATCAGCATTTTGGGGGGAATTCTTTATCAAAAGTTTTTTTACTGTATCAAGATTTTTGAATACAACTTTAATATTAAAAGTCTTAAGAAGAGAAGGCATATCAACCAAGTTTTCATGGTAAGGGAGAACCAACATATTTTTAGTTGAATAAGGCTGGTTGTCCCTTTTTGGATTGTAAAAAGTATTTCTAGCAACTTTAAAAGATTTGTCAATTACATTTCTTGGGTATTTTAAATCATTACCTATTTCATAAATTTTGGATATTTCCTCATCTATGAACTCAGGACTACAAATTCGTAAAGCTCTCAAAAACATTGATGAGAAAACAGACAGTTTGACTCTATCTTGATGCGAGGAATAATAGTGGACATAGGAACAGTTATTTGTAGGTTTTCTGTAAATTTTAAATTTGAATTCATTATTACCCTTAATAATTAAAACATCTAGAAAAGGCAATGAGTTATTTTCTTCAAACTCAACAGTAAAGTTTATAGAATGGGCTAAGCTATTTAATTTTCCTAGGAAATGATGTATATCTACATTTTTGGGCATAAGACACAAAATATCATCAACATATCTGAACCATTTAGCTCTATTAGGGAGGATTGTGTTAAGTAACCTTGTTTCAAAAGATTCCATGTATAGGTTACTAAGAACAGGTGAAAGAGGATTTCCCATTGCCATACCAAACTTCTGAGTGTAAAACTTATCATTAAATACAAATTTTGCATCAACAATGCAAAGTTTAATAAGTTTAATGATAGTAGAAACTGGCAATGGTAAATCATAGTTAACGAGTTCTTCAGATAAGAAACTTAATAAATCATCAACAGGAACTTTCGTAAACAAGGAAGTAACATCAAAACTAACCATGTTAAAATCATTTAAGTCAGTCAAGGAGCTTAATTTATCAACCAAGTCTATGTTGTTTTTAACATTAAAGTTAGAAATTTTGCCAACAATAGGGCTCAAAATATCAACAAGCCATTTGGATAATTTATATGAAACTGACCCTATGGAGCTAATAATTGTAATGAACTCAAGAGCAAACTACAAAGAAAATTAGACATTTTAATTGAAAATAGTGATTGGACAAAGCATGCTAATAACAATTTCGTAATTAACTTATCAGATGAAATTTTAGACAAACATACAACTGCTGCTCTAGGTTCTGGCTTAAGTTTTGCAACTTCAAAAAAACTTAATAATGTTGAAATTGCAAAAGCCTTTTGTAACTTTGAAAAATTTTCTGATTTATCCTCTGATGAAATTAATATTAGTAAAGGAATGGTATATAGTTCTATGTTAAAACCAAACATTCCCAATTGCCCTCAAAGATTCTTTAAGTCTTATGATACACTTAATAATAATAAAAATTTGCGCCTTACTAAAGCAGACAAAATAAATGCAATAGTAATTATGAAAGAAAATGATTACCAAGAAAAAATGAATAATCTCTTAGATAAAACCGTTAACAGCAATTTCAATAAAACAATAAAACTTCTACTGAAAGGCAAAGATGAATTAGTCAAACAATTTACTTCCACTAATCCATCTTTGCCTTACATGTATGGACTAATAAAAACACACAAACCAGGGAATCCAGTCAGACCAATTATTAGCTCCATAGGGTCAGTTTCATATAAATTATCCCAATGGCTTGTTGATATTTTGAGCCCTATTGTTGAAATTGCAAAAGCCTTTTGTAACTTTGAAAAATTTTCTGATTTATCCTCTGATGAAATTAATATTAGTAAAGGAATGGTATATAGTTCTATGTTAAAACCAAACATTCCCAATTGCCCTCAAAGATTCTTTAAGTCTTATGATACACTTAATAATAATAAAAATTTGCGCCTTACTAAAGCAGACAAAATAAATGCAATAGTAATTATGAAAGAAAATGATTACCAAGAAAAAATGAATAATCTCTTAGATAAAACCGTTAACAGCAATTTCAATAAAACAATAAAACTTCTACTGAAAGGCAAAGATGAATTAGTCAAACAATTTACTTCCACTAATCCATCTTTGCCTTACATGTATGGACTAATAAAAACACACAAACCAGGGAATCCAGTCAGACCAATTATTAGCTCCATAGGGTCAGTTTCATATAAATTATCCAAATGGCTTGTTGATATTTTGAGCCCTATTGTTGGCAAAATTTCTAACTTTAATGTTAAAAACAACATAGACTTGGTTGATAAATTAAGCTCCTTGACTGACTTAAATGATTTTAACATGGTTAGTTTTGATGTTACTTCCTTGTTTACGAAAGTTCCTGTTGATGATTTATTAAGTTTCTTATCTGAAGAAACTCATTAACTATGATTTACCATTGCCAGTTTCTACTATCATTAAACTTATTAAACTTTGCATTGTTGATGCAAAATTTGTATTTAATGATAAGTTTTACACTCAGAAGTTTGGTATGGCAATGGGAAATCCTCTTTCACCTGTTCTTAGTAACCTATACATGGAATTTTTTGAAACAAGGTTACTTAACACAATCCTCCCTAATAGAGCTAAATGGTTCAGATATGTTGATGATATTTTGTGTCTTATGCCCAAAAATGTAGATATACACCATTTCCTAGGAAAATTAAATAGCTTAGCCCATTCTATAAACTTTACTGTTGAGTTTGAAGAAAATAACTCGTTGCCTTTTCTAGATGTTTTAATTATTAAGGGTAATAATGAATTCAAATTTAAAATTTACAGAAAACCTACAAATAACTGTTCCTATGTCCACTATTATTCCTCGCATCAAGATAGAGTCAAACTGTCTGTTTTCTCATCAATGTTTTTGAGAGCTTTACGAATTTGTAGTCCTGAGTTCATAGATGAGGAAATATCCAAAATTTATGAAATAGGTAATGATTTAAAATACCCAAGAAATGTAATTGACAAATCTTTTAAAGTTGCTAGAAATACTTTTTACAATCCAAAAAGGGACAACCAGCCTTATTCAACTAAAAATATGTTGGTTCTCCCTTACCATGAAAACTTGGTTGATATGCCTTCTCTTCTTAAGACTTTTAATATTAAAGTTGTATTCAAAAATCTTGATACAGTAAAAAAAACTTTTGATAAAGAATTCCCCCCAAAATGCTGATGGATGTGTCTATAAGATTCCTTGTAAAATTTGCGATAAAGTTTATTACGGTCAAACTGGTAAAAATCTCGAACTAAGATTAAAACAACATAAATATAGCATTAGAACTGGACAAGATTCCAATGCTCTATTTATTCATGTAAGAGATTTTAACCATCCAATTGATTTTCAAAAAGTTGAGAAAGTAGTATCAAGCAAGTCCATGGTCGACAGGAATATAAATGAATCTTGTTTCATAAAAAGCAGTTTTGACAATAATATGAATATTTCCTTTGGTTTATATAAATTAGATCCATTTATAATTAATAGAATTTGGGAAGAATTTAATAATACACTGGACAAATAATCTTTAAAATTTCTTATTTCTTGGGTAGAATAGTTTGTGGGGTGAGTTGTGCCAAGGACCTATCCAAGTTGGGTCGGCGCGCGTCAGGTGTTTAAACCGTTGTGGGATCTGAAAGTGAAGTGCTGGCCAGACCCCTTATATAGCTTCCTTGGATGCTTTACTTTCATAGTTCCTTGATAATGTGAGAAGTCACGAAAGCGCTTGGAATTTCTCTATTCATTCAGAGTGGTTGTTTTGCATATTCTGAAATCACCTGTTTACTGTGATCTTATTGCATATATATATTTATATATATTATATATATATATATAATAATTATATATATATATATATATATATATATTATATATATTTATATATATATATATATTATATATGCAATAAGATCACAGTAAACAGTTCCTTGATAATGTGAGTAGTCACGAAAGCGCTTGGAATTTCTCTATTCTTTCAGAGTGGTTGTTTTGCATATATATATATATAATATATAATATATATATATAATATATATATATATATATATATATATATGAGTGTACCTGGTAAAGTGTATGGTAGAGTTATAATTGAAAGAATTAAGAGTAAGACGGAGAATAGGATAGCAGATGAACAAGGAGGCTTTAGGAAAGGTAGGGGGTGTTGGACCAGGTTTTACAGTGAAACATATAAGTGAACAGTATTTAGATAAGGCTAAAGAGGTCTTTGTGGCATTTATGGATTTGGAAAAGGCGTATGACAGGGTGGATAGGGGGGCAATGTGGCAGATGTTGCAAGTGTATGGTGTAGGAGGTAGGTTACTGAAAGCAGTGAAGAGTTTTTACGAGGATAGTGAGGCTCAAGTTAGAGTATGTAGGAAAGAGGGAAATTTTTTCCCAGTAAAAGTAGGCCTTAGACAAGGATGTGTGATGTCACCGTGGTTGTTTAATATATTTATAGTGGGGTTTGTAAGAGAAGTAAATGCGAGGGTTTTGGGCAAGAGGGTGGAGTTAAAAGATAAAGAATCACACACAAAGTGGGAGTTGTCACAGCTGCTCTTTGCTGATGCCCACGTGTTTCTTGGGAGATTCTGAAGAGAAGTTGCAGGATTGGTGGATGAATTTGGTAGGGTGTGCAAAAGAAGAAAATTAAAAGGGTGAATACAGGAAAGAGTAAGGTTATGAGGATAACAAAAAGATTAGGTGATGAAAGATTGAATATCAGATTGGAGGGAGAGAGTATGGAGGAGGTGAACGTATTCAGATATTTGGGAGGGGGACGTGTCAGCGGATGGGGCTATGAAAGATGAGGTGAATCATAGAATTGATTTAGGGAAAAAGAGTGAGTGGGCACTTAGGATCTGTGGAGACAAAGAACTTTGTCCTTGGAGGCAAAGAGGGGAATGTAATGAGAGTATAGTTTTACCAACGCTCTTAATGGGTTTTGAAGCGTGGGTGATGAAAGTTGCAGCGAGGAGAAGGCTGGAGGCAGTGGAGATGTCATGTCTGAGGGCAATGTGTGGTGTGAATATAATGCAGAGAACGTAGTTTGGAAGTTAGGAGGAGGTGCGGGATTACCAAAACTGTTGTCCAGAGGGCTTTAGGAAGGGTTGTTGAGGTGGTTCGGGCATGTAGAGAGAATGGAGCGAAACAGAATGACTTCAAGAGTGTATCAGTCTGTAGTGGAAGGAAGGCGGGGTAGGGGTCGCCTAGGGAAAGGGTTGGAGGGAGGGGGTAAAGGAGTTTTGTGTGCGAGGGGCTTGGGCTTCCACAGGCATGCGTGAGCTTGTTTGATAGGAGTGAATGGAGACAAATGGTTTTTAATACTTGACGTGCTGTTGGAGTGGAGCAAAGTAACATTTATAAGGGATTCAGGAAACCGGCAGGCCCGGGCTTGAGTCCTGGAGATGGGAAGTACAGTGCCTGCACTCTGAAGGAGGTGGTTAATGTTTGCAGTTTAAAAACTGTAGTGTAAAGCACCCTTCTGGCAAGACAGTGATGGAGTGAATGATGGTGAAAGTTTTTCTTTTTCGGGCCACCCCCGCCTTGGTGGGAATCGGCCGGTGTGATAATAAAAAAAAAAAAATAAATAAATATATATTTATATATATATATATATATATGTCGTGCCGAATAGGCAGAACTTGCGATCTTGGCTTAAATAGCAACGCTCATCTTGCCATATAGGACAAGTGAAAATTTGTGTATGCAATAATTTCGCCAAAATCATTCTGAACCTAACGAAAAAAATATATTTCACTGTGTTTGTTTAGTATTAAATTATTGTAAACAAATCTAAAATATATTTAGTTGGGTCAGGCTAAAGTAAATTGCGTTTGTTATAATAAGGTTAGGTAAGTTTTCTAAGTTCCTTTAGGTGAAAAATTATAAATTTTTACATCAACATTAATGAAAAAAATATATCTTAAAACGTATAAGAGAAACTTTTAGAAAGGACTTAATTTAAATGAGTTCTTGCTAATTGACCAGTTTTACATATTCGGCACGACATATATATATATATATATATATATATATATATATATATATATAATATATATATATATATATATATATAAATATATATATATATATATATATATATATTATATATATATATATATATATATATACGTTCCTGAAACTCAGAGGCCAGTGCGTTAACCACTGGGCTAGTAGGCTCCAATAAGATTCATCCAACTAAATATAATTCTACTCGCCATAGGAAGGTTAGCATGGGCCACTACTGTGATCACAAATGCAGGTTTTTTCAGATGAATCCACACCAGCTTGTCTGTGTTGTGCTCTAGCTCAAGTTCCTTCAAGGCCGTCATTATAATTTACCCATTCTGTGATTTGACTGCAATCGTGTTATTGCGATTTCTTCAGCAATAACATCTTTGCAATTGTATATATTGTTCACATGTTTTTTGGACGTGAAGTTATTCTTTAAAAATCCCGGATTTGCAAAATGTAACATTGTATTTTGTTGCTGCAGGAGTCGACTGGACCACACTAAAGTGTTGTGTCAGGTGGGAGAGGATTATATCAAGATTAAGAATAAACACACTGAGTTCCTGGTGTGGGACGAATCTTGTGTCTTCTCTGTTTAGTAAACACAGTGACACCCATCACTCTTTACCACCAGTGACACCCATTACTCTCCACCACCAGTGACACCCATTACTCTCAACCATCAGCGACACCCATCATTCCTGAGTGAGGTGATGGCTTGTGACGACGAACTGACCAGATCAATATATAATAAACCTCAAAATTAGTACAAAGTGTCCGTGATTTTTCTCAGAGTTTAAAACTTAACCAAGTTGATGTATCAGACACATGTGCAACCCAAGTGTTGCACATGTGACTTACCAAAAAAATTAGAATTTTGAAAATATATTTCTTGGGTGTCCTAATTAAACCAAATCCTTATAACAGAATCAGAATTTCCCAAATATTTTTCATCATTTCGAATGAGAAATAAATATTTCAGAATGATTAAAACTTTTAATGACCAGCCTTCAAGCATATATTAACTTCCTCAGTATTTTTAATATTAATTTATAAATTAAAATGAAATAATTTAAAGTTTCCTGCAATGTATATATATATATATATATATATATATATATATATATATATATATATATATATATATATATATAAACGAAATAACAATGCAGAAGATTTTTGAAGGACAATTGTCGACTGAAATGATAAATAAGATTCCATCTCTCTCTCTCTCTCTCTCTCTCTCTCTCTCTCTCTCTCTCTCTCTCTCTCTCTCTCTCTCTCTCTCTCTCTCTCTCTCTCTCTCCTCTCTCTCACACAATCTATTTCATGTTTCTTCATTAAAATGTCCTATAAAGGAGATCTATAGAGGGCATCTGTCTTCCCCTCTGACAACTAGTTGTGGAAGTGGCGGCTATCAACGTGGTCTTACGGCCTGTCGACTCTTGCTGGGATTCTGGCTGGTTGCTGATCACATTCTCACCGGATGCTGGGCGGATTCCCACCAGATTCCGTCCGGATTGCTACCGGATTTTTAGCTGGATATTTACTCTTTTCTCGCCGGATGCCTGACCTGGTCCTGCCTACACTGTGAATATCAACCTTCCCCAATGACTTAACAACTTAAATGGTAAATCACGTAATAGCCTAAAGACTTAATGGCCCAATTTTCTAATAGGCCTCACATTAAGGTGCTGATTACGCAACTGAGACGCGGGTATTATTTCCAGCTCGTAAAACAGGGAAGATAAACATTATTTCCAGCTCGTAAAACAGGGAATATAAACATTGAAAATTATTCTTTAAGCTTCAAACTTTTACAGTAATTATGAACACAAGAACATGAGAACACGAGAACACAGGAAGTTAAGAACATAAGAACAATACAACATGAGAATATACGATAATAAGAACTTATAAGAATAGAATAACGTGAGAAGGAAAGAATACATGAACATGAGAATATAACACAAGAAGGTAAGAACATAAGAACACAAGAACGTAAAAAAATAAGAACACAAAAAATTAAGAACATGAAAACATAAGAACATAAGGTTAGAACATAAGACCAATAGAACATGAGAACGTAAGAAGATAACACTAAAAATAAGAATGTAAGAACACAGGAATATAAGAACGCAAGAACATAAGAACGTAAGAACATGTAAGAACCTAAGAATATGCACTTGTCCATCGTAGTTGTTTGAAAAGTCACTCAGTACTTCAAGAATGGAAGGTAATCAAGTTCGATTCGAGGAAGGGAAGAGCATCTCCTTTACCTAGAATCAAGAGCCCTACACCAGCATCAAGATGGGTTCTTTGAAGAGTAAACATTGAATAGATGTCTCGTTACGAGATGTTTTAAGTATATCAGCATCAGGGCGCTACAGCCCTCTGAAGCAGTGCTGAAGTGACTTGAAGTTAGGAATGAAGGTGGGGAAAGAGGAAGAAGAAGAAGAAGAGGAAGAGGAAGAAGACGAAGAAGAGGAAGAAGTAAAGTAATGGATGAGGGAAAAATATTTTGGAGATTGATGATACGCTTATATATATATATATATATTATATATATATATAATATATATATATATATATATATATATATATATATATATATATATATATAATATATATATATATATATATATATATACAAATTAGTTACGAGCTGAAAATAAAATATTGAAATTTACCTTCGCACATTATCCCACACTGGTTGCTTTTCCGGGCCTTGAATTACCCGGATTTCGGAAATGATATTTAGTAGGCGGTACAGAATTAGAAAACATTTAAAAAAAATTCTCAGTTGCAAATATTTTTCACCGTAAACAATATATTTCCTTTTACTATTCTCTTTCCAATTGCGTTGTGATGTCAGCGCACAACTGGCAGGACAGCTATTGAGCGAGTCACGATGGATGTGTTTTCTTTCTTTGCGTCCGGTGTACTATAAAAAGGTATTCTACGTTTTTTTTTTTAGCATTGTGGTGCTACCCTGTTCAATATGACAGTTACACAATGGGAACGAAAGCAGCAAACTATGTTTCCCTGTCATATTTCTTCACCCGGTATAAGGCTCGTGCAAAGTGCTGAAATGGACCAGCCTGAGCAAGGAGACTTCAGTAGAGCAGTGAGGATATCGTCAAGTATTTTATCAATGGCTCAGCAGCTACGGCAGCTTCAAAGATTTCGTTTCCAGCAGAGCTGGAGTTACTATCACTCAGCCTCCACTAGACACAAAACATACCTTGGAACGAACACATTAAGAGACTTACTGGCTGTAGAGGGAGAACGACAGCTGGGAAATCTTCCAAAGAATATAATAGTTGTGTGAACTCTGCAGAGGACACTTACCTTGGCTCGCCTGCAGCGTTTAATAGTTTGACTGTTGACATTAACGCCAGAGGTACGCGACTACACTTGGTAACAGCACAGTTAAGAAGCCTTTGTGCCTTCTTGAAGACGCTGGCCGGATGTTATTGCATATTGAAGACAGGGAAAAATGATGCAGAACAAGAATTGCAAGAGTTTCCCCTTGAGCAATTGCAGATAAGGCAGAGCATATACACACTTAACTTCACTTCACACACACACACACACACACACACACACACACACACACACACACACACACACACACACACACACACGACATACGTATGATTTTCAGTAATATTTTCGTTCAGATCTGTTGATTTACTACTTACTGTGACCATTATTGGTTGACTATTGAGCTTAATACTGACCCAGACATTCCAGAGTGAAGAAAGGAAAAGAAAGAAAGGCAAGAAAGACTGCAGGGAAAAAAAAGAAAGCAAGAAAACAAGCAAGGAAATGTAGGATGTATTCGCTCCTTTTAGCACTCTAAGAAATAGATCAAGTGATCTCTTTGTCATCGTTTCTTTCTTAAGCTGGAAATCTCTTGTGGAGCATTTAGGAATATTTATTGTGGAAGCGATACGCCGGCCAATGGCTTCTACAGTCCAATAGAGAGAAGAACGGTGGAAGATGATGAGGAGTTGGAGGTAATCAGTCCCTCATCCTCGAGTCGATGTACACAGTCCATCAGTCTTAATGGACTCAACACATTGACATCAGGCTGAGGGACTGATTACCTCAAACTATATATTCAGGTCTTACACCGTCTCCAGCATTATTCTTTCTTTTGGGCTGATATAATTACTGGAGAGCGAAACGTCTTCATACTAAAAATACCCAGGTGTTGCACATATCTTATTTATCAACAGGAATCCTGCGTTAACGCACATGTGCAACAGTTGGGTTTGGTTCCAGACCCTGAAGCTGAACTCTTCTCCAGGCTGAGGGACTGACCACCTCAAATACTATCTCTCCAAGGTTGATGGACTGATTACATCATCTTCATCTCACTACTACACCTGCTGCCTCTGTAATTGACTGAAAAAGTCTACTGTATTGGGCGAAACGTTTCATTAATAAAGATACCCAACTGTTGCACATGTGTCTTTATGTCAACTTGTCGGTATTTAATACCATATTCGACACAGGAATCCTGCAACTTGTTTCACAGTTTTCTTAAACAGCAGAGTGTTGTCTTCTTGTCTTCTCTGTTGTTAGTAGGTTAAAAGGTTTCTTCTCAGTCTTTCCTCATAACCTCTGGTGTCTGGAAATGTTACATTTATTTTCTCTACCTGTGAAGACAGATACAGTGTTCTCTTCATGACTCGTATTTCTTCTTGCTGTGTGTGTGTGTGTGTGTGTGTGTGTGTGTGTGTGTGTGTGTGTGTGTGTGTGTGGGGTGTGTGTGTGTGTGTGTGTGTGTGTGTGTGTGTGTGGTGTGTGTGTGTGTGTGTGTGGTGTGTTGTGTGTGTGCGTGTGTGTGTGTGTGTGTATGTATGTGTGTGTGTGTGTGTGCTCACACACACACACACAGCTCTTGGCCCCGCCTCTTCACTGGTCGCTATTAGGTTCACTCTCTCCCTGCTCCATGAGCTTTATCATACCTCTTCTTAAAGCTATGATGGATCCTGCCTCCACTACATCACTCTCCAGATTGTTCCACTTTCTGACAATTCTGTGACTGAAAAAATACTTCCCAATATCCCTGTGAGTGTGTATGTGTCTTACTAATGTACTGCATTATATATCAGGAAGAACTAAACCCTGTTGATCAATCAGTGCATGGAGAAGTGAAGGCTCGATCCTCCGCCCGCTAATCATGCCCCAATCTTTACGAGTTAAGGTGTAGGTAGGTACCCCGTGATGGCAACACTATTGGAGGAAGGTAAGTTGGTGACCCGAGGTGGCAACACTGCTGCTGAAAGGTAAGTAGGTTACCCGAGGTGGCAACACTGCTGCTGATAGGTAAGTAGGTAACCCGAGGTGGTAATACTTCTGGAGAAAGGTAAATAGGTAATCCGAAGTGGCAACACTGCTGCAGAAAGGGAAGTAGGTGCCCCGAGGTGGCATCACTGATCAAGTATTGAGAGGGCACAGCATGGATTATCGGGCAACAGTATTACCAGATACACTTTGAGTTGCTCCCTCCGCTGCCCAATAATGGTAACACTGACGCAGCGACGTGCACCTGTACTTAGAGAGAGAGAGAGAGAGAGAGAGAGAGAGAGAGAGAGAGAGAGAGAGAGAGAGAGAGAGAGAGAGAGAGAGAGAGAGCCAGGTGCAGTATACTGAACCAAGGGTACGCTGGCATGTATTTGCATATTATGTATTAATGAGGTATACCAAAAGTATATATGAATAAACACTAAGAAGAGAACAACAGCAACAACAACAATAATGATAATAATGATGATGATGATGATAATAATAATAATATTAATAATAATAATAATAATAATAATAATAATAATAATAATAATAATAATAATAATAATAATAATAATAATATAAATAATAATAGAAAGACGAGACATCTAATAATGTAAACCAGGAAACAACAAGGAGAAACAACAAGGAGGAAGCACCAAGGAGGAAACAACAAGGAGGAAACAACAAGG